GACAGCCGCACTGGTGATGTATGAATGATCGGATGCTGCTGAACTTCTCCTTCGTCTTCCTTCTTCGACATCGTCTTCTTGCTGCTCTTACGGATCTATCAGTTGGCTGTCTGAAGTGACAGCAATGCCTGCAATATAATTCCCTCCATTCTCCTGTGCTTTTTTTGCTTTCATTACAATAAATTTGCTTTTAGACGTTACCGGGAAGGAAGGGCACAAAAAAGGGAAAAATGAGTTGCAGGCCGGTTTCGACAAACCACCATCGCCAAATACTAACTGCTTTTACATTTCCTTCCTAATTTGAAGTTCTTAAAACTCGCTTTACAAGCAGACGGCAGGTACTATGATAACTGGAGGAAGGCAGCCCAGAATTAAAGGGCACGATGTAGCTACCTTGGCGTGTCGAATAAAGATATGAAAGATTGTATATAAAAAATGTAATAAAAATATACTGCAAAATAATCACATGAACAAGTCGTATACATTCCTACTCAGCATTACAACTGAATCTCTAAAATACGGCGGTTCTGGTGCATATTTGTGTAAGTAGTAATATAAAATAAATGTGTAAAAAATTTTATTAAAAGCAATTTCTTCTAAGAATTTAGCAAGCACTCTTGTGGCATTACTAAAATGGGATGCCCATCCCGATTGTCCAGAGATCTTGGTATTCGTGATAAATCTTATCTGAGGTCTCCCGGAAAACTGATTTGAGATTCACGGTGTTGTCAGCGTGCGATCTCATTTGCACGTGAATTATTGATCTTCCAGAGGAAACTAACTATATTGGAAGTTTCTGTTTCAGAGCAAATGAATTGTATATTGGCTTATATAGCAACAGTAGCAGCGATTGTATGTTTTGTTTCATGTGAAGAGGAACAGAAACTTAGTTGGAAAGACGACGATGGTCTTGAGGTTCCTTTTTTTTAGCATTACAAAATACACAGTGTCACTCCTTGTTTATGTGTGTTTGTGTGTGCGTTTGTCCTGAATGTGTTTTGTTCCACAGTTAACACTTTGGAACCGCAAAAGTTAGAAGGCTGAAATTTTACCTGCCCACGTTTGGCGCCGGCCCAAATTCAGCCTTCATTTACGACTAGTTCCCATGTACAAACCCGCAAAATCTTCTGCATGAAAAATTATTATCTCAGGAACCGCAAAGCTCAGGAACTATGAAGCTAAGAGACTGAAATTTTTGGGGAATGTCCCCTACTCGCGTGCGTCTTCGCAAATTCAAATTCAGCTCAAAAATACATCTGGGTCTCCCGTATGGCGCCGTAAAAGTTTTGTCAGGAAAAACAATTATCTCAGAATGGCTAAATGGTTGAGACTATACGAGGATGTTTTTTGCCCATTCAGGCACCTCACAAACCCAAATTCAGCTCCCAAGTATGTTGAATTCTCATGTACTGGCGCGAAAGTCAGTAATTCGGAAACCAGAAAACTAGGAAACTGAAATTTTGGAAAGATTTCCCCGTCTATATGCGATCCAAGGTTTCTAATTCAGTCTCACGTACGCTTACGT